CGCAGTTTCCGGGCCTGCGTCAGGACTGTGGCCAGGTGTCTACAAGCTTGTGAGGTCACTCCACAGCCCTGCAAACTGAGCGCTTTCAGTCTGCAGTTTTTATCAGTCAACCCCTCCACGAGTGTCCTGACTCCATTATCACTGATGCTGTTGTATCCCAGGTCCAGTTTTCTCAGGTAAGATTCTTTGGTGCTTAGGACTGCTGCCAAAGCTGGACAACACTTGTCTGTCAGGTTAGAGAATCGCAGCCTGCACAGACATAGGAGTTAATGACATCAACATTATTAAGGTACATACAACTGGCAATATTACTTTCACTGGTCAACAAATGCCACTACTAAGTAATGGCTGTGTACATGGGCAAACTACAAGACAATAGGCCCTTGGGCACAGACGTGTACAAGGCCTCTACCTTTCCAGCATTTCTAGGAACAAGACTCAGTTTGAACAACAATGCAATTTGTAGCCAAAAAATAGGAGAGGTGCCAAACATATTGACACCCCTGCATTTCTATCAGATAACACAACACTTCTTCCAGAAAGCTCTTGCAATCAAATTCTCTGGTATTCTACAGTGTATTTTTTTCCTTTGCATTGAAACAACACAAAAAAGCCAAATCTGATACAGTCCACACAGAACTCCAAAAACTGAACTGGACCTTTTCAAAATGAGGGTAGTGTGTGTAGTTTTCTGATATACGTCTACCTTCAGGCTTCTGTCGAGTCTCAAGTGGACTGCACAATCCAAAAAGGCCAGACAGTCATCTCTGGCATCCTCCCGAGTGAACTTGATGTTGTCATCCACAGAGTTGATATGTTTGGTGAAAGCCTAATCAGGACCCAGGAGGTAGAGGCTTTCACCAAACATATCAATTCTGTGGATGACAACATCAAATTCACTCGGGAGGATGCCAGAGATGACTGTCTGGCCTTTTTGGATTGTGCAGTCCACTTGAGACTCGACAGAAGCCTGAAGGTAGAAGTATATAGAAAACCTACACACACAGATCAGTACCTGCTTTTTGACTCACACCATCCACTTCAACACAAACTGGGAGTCATCAGAACTTTAAATCACAGGGCAGAGGAAGTGCCCACAACTGCAGAAGGGGCCAAGAAGGAGAAATTACACATCCATAACTCCCTTAGGGCTTGTGGATACCCTAAGGACTTGTACATTGGTGAAACTAAGCAGCCGCTTCACAAACGCATGGCCCAACACAGGAGGGCCAACTCCAGTGGACCAGAATCAGCAGTCCACCTCCACCTGAAGGACAAAGGACATTCTTTTGAGGACAGTGAAGTCTAGATCCTCTCCAGAGAACATCGCTGGTTTGAGAGAGGAGTTAAGGAAGCTATTTTTGTAAAAATGGAACACTCCTCACTAAATAGGAGTGGTGGACTAAGACACAACTTGTCTTCCATCTACAATCCTGTTTTGAGATGTCTGCCCAAACATGCCCACCAGGACAATAGGCGTCAGTCAACAGGGGAGGATTCAGAGACAGGTAACGACTCTCACCGATACTGGGCTATAACAACTCAGTCTTTAAGGGACATTGTTGGCCTTCAAAGGACTGAAACACCACTGAGGGGGATAAATATCTCCGACTCAACACCAGTCAGTCAGAACTGAAGAAGCCTCTTGGATGAGAGGTGAAACGTCTTCGACCTAGAAATCTAGTCCAGTTGATTTTTATAAGTTTTTTTTTTTCAGCTTATTATGACCTGGATGACTGAGAATCTGCACAGACATCCTTCAAAGAAAAGAACATGGTCCCTACAGTCAAACATGGTGAAGGTTCACTGATGTGTTATGGTTGCTTTGCTGCTTCGCTGGATGTTTTGACTGTGTGTATTCATAATGAAATCTGAAGCCTACCAGTGAATTCTGGGGCCCGACGTCAGAAAGCTGGGTCTCCATCAGAGGTCATGGGTCTTACAGCAGGACAACAACCCAAAGCAGATTTAAAAAAACACCAGAAATGGTTTCAGACAATGAGCTGGAGAGTTCTGAAGTGGCCATCAACGAGTCCAGATCTAAAACCCATAGAGCATCTGTGGAGAGGTCTCAGAACAGCAGCTGGGAAAAGGAACCCTTCAGATCTGAGAGACCTGGAGCAGTTGGCAAAAGAAGAGTGGTCCAAAACTCCAGTAGAGATGTATAAGAAACTCACTGATACAGGAAGAGACTGATTTCAGTTATTTTGTCCAAAGGGTGTGCTACCAAATATTAAGTTGAGGGTGTTTATTAATTCTGCCCAGTCCATTTCTGGAATTCTATGTGGAAGGTATCAGATTTGGCTTTTTCCCTCTGTTTTTTGTGTTGTTCCAATGCAAACAAAAGAAATAAACAAGAATTTGTGATTGCAACAATTTTCTGAGATGTGGTGTGTTATCTGACAGAAATGCAGGGGTGCTGTCAAACAGAAGGTTCACTACAGCCAAATGTATATTTTATTATTTTCTCAGTTACTCCTATTGGTAGATAACTTTAAATAATACTGACTGCATTTCCAAGGGTTTTGAGGTGGTCAAATCTCAGATGTTTGCCACAACCCAAATATGACCAAAGCAAACAGACTTGATGATGATAATCACCAAGTCTCAGTACTTCAGTTGTACTGGAGTTTCAGGTGCTGGTATATCCAAAATCTTGCTGCGTTCACATGAAACCATTACAGCATGTACATGAACAAGTGTGTGTGTGTGTGTGTGTGTGTGTGTGATTTACGAAAGCTGATCATTTTAAGGACTTATCAAATTGATTTTGCGGAAATGAAAGACCAACATGAAATAAGTGTAAATGTCCAAATATTTATGGAATGTATGTATAGAAATGAGCCTGAATCCACTGAAAACACTCTTACATGGCTTTCCTTGATTTCAGAATTGCTGGGAGCTGCCTGAGGAGTCTTTCATCAGATCTCATGGACACTTGCATCTCAAAATTATCCTGCATCCCTTCAAGAGCTCTCGTAATTTGGACCATTAACTTCCAGCGTTGTGGTGTGGTTTGACAAAATGGAGAGACTCCAGACTTCAGAAAATCATTGACCTCATTCAGTAAAGCCTGGCTGTCGTACTCCCTCAGACAGTGGAATAGGCCCACAGAGCTTCTCTCCAGGATCATCGTCTTGGTGTACGTAAACAGCCGATCTTTGGGCTCCAAAGTACCACGCTCCTTTATGAGGCCAAAGATGAAGCGTAAGAAGACATCAAATTTTCCTGTAGCATTCCGCAGTGCCTTGTCCACCAGCTCCCGACAACAACCAGACCGTAGAGGCAAAGGATTTTCTTCAATGTCATCCAATTTAGCTGATGCAGCCAAGAACTCCTGAATGCTTGAGTGACCAAAGCGAAACACTATGGTGTTACACAGCCCCTTCTCTTCTCTCAACACAAACGGCCACTCTTTAGAGAAAGAGGACGCTTCCTCAATACTTATGTCACTCTGTAAAAGGTCACCCTCAGACATGAGATTATTCTCTGCCATTCGAAGCAGTGCCAGCCGTTTTAGCTTGGCAAAAACAGCTGAGTTTGATGCTTTGACCACATTTGTATAAATCTGGGTTAGATTCAAGGGACTGATTTTAAATCCATCATCTGCTTTTAGAAGATTCTTAAAAGCATTTGCCATAATGATGCAGATTACAGGTATCTGACAAAGGAAGTCCAGACTCTTTGACATTTTCACATGGTCAATGGCTCTGTGGGTCAGCTCATCATTACCAATAACTGTCCTGAAGTGCTGCTCCTTCTGTTCATCACTGAACCCCTGGACCTCAGTCACTTTTAGCAAGTAGTGCTGAGGGATTTGAGTTGCCGCTGCATACCGGGTCGTTATCCATACATGAGAATTAGGAAGTAAATTCCCCCTGATCAGGTTGGTCACAAGAACAGTTACTCTGGATGCCTCAGAAACATCACTTACTGCTGGACAACTGAAGTTTATTAAGTGATCAAACTCATCCAGTCCATCAAGGACAAACCACACGTTGCTTTTATTTAGGCTGGAAGCATTGAGTTCCTTCAGCTCAGGGTAAAACATCAGCAGAAGTTCAATCAGGCTCAACTCAAACATTTGGAAATTTAACTCCCAGACGGCAAGAGGAAGGAGCAGATAGATATCATGGTATCCTTTCCCCTCAGCCCATTCGAGTGCACACCTCTGCACCACTGTGGTTTTTCCAGCTCCACTCACTCCCAATGTGAGGACTGTTTTTCTGCTGCTACTATGTTTGCACTCACATGATAAAATATCTGTGAGCGGGACAGTTGTAGAAACAGTCCAAGTGTGAAGGTGGGATTTGTCAACATACAAGAAGTCATGTTTATGCAAATTAGAAAATGAGTAGTCATCCTTATAGCAAAGTCTTGCATGGAGTAATGGATTTTCAGAATACGCTTCATTCAGTGCCTGATATTTGTTCTTCAGTGTGGTCTGGAGATGGGTTCGCAGATCCATCACAGATAGTTTCCTGAAAAAATGGGAAGGTGGTGAGTGTACAAAACAAAGGCTACAAATGAATGTTAGGCTGTGCCATAGAGCAACAGTTGTTTTGTCTGCAAGAGACTTTAACTTGTGCTGGTTGCTTTAAATCCTAACTCATCTCTCTATACAGTATATACAAATGCAATTCCATTGATAACTAGTGTGCGCTGTGGAGACTTTTTCATCATCTCAAACATTTTTTACACTTAGTCTTAACTGTACTGCATTTTGTCACATCATCAAGACATTAATTTGAACTAGAATGGGCTACTGCACAGTCACAGCCAACCATAAAATGTATGCTTTGGTCCATTACAGCATTACACGACACGGCTCCAGACCAACATCTTATACTGATGGCACTGGTGCGGTCAAGTCTCTCAGATGGTCTACAGGCATACAGGGCATCTGCATTGCTGTGTGCTTATTCGTTTTCTATTTATGACTTCTTTGCATGTATATTTAAATAATGCAATAAAAATATATTGTAATCATTGCCTTGACAGTACAGCACTGTACAAAAAGTGATCTATGCAAGAAACAGACTACATTCTGTGAGCGCACAGGTTATTACTGTAAAAAGGCATTGCCCACTTTGTCTACACCTACATCTGCTTTAGTCTGGATCAAACTGTCATAAGTCTCAAAAACAGACCCAGCATACCACCCTATCCCCATTGCAAAACATGACCATTTTAGGAAAGTGTAGGCCAGATGAATAGTGAATGACCGCAGAATTTTGCCTATTCTTTTACCATGGCTCTTGAGCTGCTTTTGTGTGTTAATGTGGAAATAGTTTATTGTGCGTGGATGGCGACTGCAAGTATATGCTGGTAGATCAGAAGTGGTATGGCAATGCAAAAAGGCAGATGCCACTATAGATAAACAGTAACATGCCAATCTTAGTCGGTACCTGCCATTACATTAGCAGTGACATGGTGAGCTCAGTGGGCACTTGCATTACATAAGCAGTCGCATACCTGTATGTGAAGCAGCACCCCCCCCCCTGCCATTAGCAGTGGCAGGTGCCCTTTCACCTCGGCATGCCACTGCTTATCCAGTGCCTTCCCAAAACAGAATGTGCTATTACAAAGGCAGTGTCATGCCTGTTGCAAACGGGACCTGCCATTATATAACCAGTGGCATGGCAATAGAGCCTACAACAGGGTTTCTCAACGTCCAGATCCGGACCTGACAGCAAGTCAATCTGGACCCAGCCCACACCTCGTATAAGGAATGCAATAATACAATATAATGAAGTATATGTTTCCTACTTTGAAAATGCTTTATACTTATCAATGTGTTACACCGTTGTCACTGCAACGTTGACAGCCGGCAAGTAAATGATGTTTAACCTCAACAAGTGACACAGCTCAAGGGTCAGCTAACAGGTGACCGAGTCAGCTAACAGGCATTCACGTTCTGTCCTTTGGTCACAAGAAAGCAAGACTTTGGCATCAGTGCACAATATATGTCACTAATGTGATGAGGATGCCACTATCCAAATATGCAAAGAAAAGTTGGCCAAGAAAACCAAGTTTTCAGAAATGAGTGGACAGAGAAATATGCCTTCATTTTGCCCCAGTCCAGCACAAGGCCCTTGTATTTGATTTGCACAGAGATTGAGAATACAGATGTGAGGACAGCAAGACTTTGTTAAAATCTTCCTAAGAATCAACAAAGAAGTTGTTTGTGAGATCTATGACACAGCAAGAGAGAGCTACTACTGATGCCCCGGACAGAATAGCTGTGGCATTTTTCCACTAGGCTTGAATGTATTTTGTCTCTGACCACCTTAAGCTTGAATGTACACGTGTAGTGTTGTACTGGACTACCTTATATTCAGAGGTGTTCCTAATATTCTGACCCTCTCATGTAATCAGGGAGGACAAAAATATAGAGACACCTCTAAATATAATGTGGTCCAGCACAACACCACCTTTAACGATGACATCAATAATAAACACATAACTGAATTTATACATTTATGACAATTCCACCAAAAACTGAAACATTTTGAGCTTCATAAACAAAGATGTTAAGTGTTGCATTGGATTACATACAGTTGTACCTAATAAAGTGGCTGGGTGAGTGTACATTGCTTTTAAGTTATAAGCAAGTTTAATAAAAGTCGTTTGCTTATCACTAATTATTCTGGATCTTTGACTTGAACAGAAATCCACGTGAGAACCCCTGACCTACAATATGTAGCAGGTAGACTTATTTAACATATACTTAGGATTTACGGCAGTAACTGTCGTAAAACCACAGTGCTACAGTGACTGTCCAATTGCCCTGTACCAGTTCCAAGCGGTATCTGCCAGTGGAGAGAGACTGGCATACTGCTTCAGAATCGTCAGGTGCCACTAGGGAAAAGTAGTAAAGGCAAAGGCCACTTTCCGATCTCGGCTATTCACTTTTCCAGGACGCTACAAATACGGACGTAGTCCCCCCCCCACCACCACCAAGCTGCCTGCTTTCTTTGCTGGAAAAAGTACCGTGAACAAACTTACTGATATACAAAAAAGGTGCAGATAGTACGAGTGGCCACACATTTTCTTTCATTTGTTGAAAACGGTTGACGTTATTAGAAAAAATGGGTCCTTCCTCGACAGAGTTAGTCTAAACGCACGAAATCTCCCCTTGGCCAGTCGCCTACAAATAAGACCATGATCATCAATTACACAAATATATCTATTAAACTTACCCCCATGTATAAGTACCTATCAAAGTACTGCCACCAGGCTGCAAATGTCCTGGTGCTTTACTTTCACGATTTTTACCTTCACAACGCTCCCAGATGTTTTTTACTGGAGTGTCCTAGTAACTGGTCCCGCTCTCTATATTTGTTTTTACTTATTTAATTATTTGTTCATTGTTCACTGATAAATACAAGCTAAATATTCGATACCAAGTTACTGCAACAAACCACAGCGAAAAACACATTAACCAATTCACTGCATGTCATACAAAGCGCTACACTGTAATTGTAACGTTAAATCCAATCTAGACAGGTGAGAAAGGGAAATTAAGTCATTTCCTCAGAGCTACCGCTAGTTAAGCTACTAGGACTTAGCTAGCTAAATAGTAATTCGTGTTAATACACTCCTGCTGTTAAGTGATTCATTTATTGACCGATTCATTTTACCTTGTGTGACAAACTTACCAAGAATAATGAGCACACAACTCTTCGTGGAAACGGAGATGAGAGAGCGGCGTTCACGTGACTGGTCAACAGTGAAACGTCAAGAAAAAAAAACAGACAAAAATGATGTAACACTAGGAATGTTGCCAAAACTAATGAGAACTTCAAACTAAGGCCGCGTCCTGGATAGCAGAGGAAGGAGTACGTAGGTTCCTCAACGAGATGGGTGGGTGTGCCAAGAACGCATAAACTTCAATAGACCTGTCTTGGTGCTGCCCCTTGCTGGTCAGTAGTCTACTGTCCGTGGTGGTGGAGCATTAGGATTGCCTAAAGCCGATTACAGCTATAAGGAAGGAAAATGTAGGTCAGATTAGCGTTACACTAAAATATAGTGTCAAAGACACCTAGAAGCTCTGCATGACCTGCTCCTCTGGGACATCTTGGCATTATTAACCTAACTGCATGACTGGACATTTCACAGACACAGCTGATAGTCTTAGCAGCGTGGTTCTAGGAATGACAGTGTTGGTCAGTCAGAAAATTGTGAGCTATTCAGAAACCAAAGAATAATGAAATGTAAAAAAAAAATGTAATGTTTTATTTTACAGGTCTCTTACATCCTAATAAATTCCTGAAAGTTTCCTGGAAAGGACCATGTAGTTTTGTACTGAGACAGCTCTCAGACTGAAGGCAAACTAGATTTGAGAATGCCATTGCTATATATATCTTATTATTGGATTATAAATAGATGCTTTATTGAATGCATCACATTTAATATTGCAACTGGTAAAGGTGGAGCTAATTTTAATTATATGCTGATAAATTGAAGTGCTGCAGAGTAGTTTCTGAATTTTTCACCAGGGATCAATAAACTCTCATGATTAAACTGCATTTTGAAAAGTAATAGCTAAAGTTATCACATAAATATAATGAAGTATAAAGATCAGTGGCACAAAATGAAAATAATCAAGTAACATACAGGTACATCCAAATTGTACTTAGATACAGCACTTGAGTAAATCTGCTTAATTATTTTCCACCATTGCTAGACAAGGTGTCAAGGCTGCACTGGGCGTTATAAAACAAGATATATTTGGAACACTTAAAAGTGAGGAGATCCTCTGGTCATACAGAAACATCAAAATTGCTATTTCTACCTAGAACAAAATACATTGGTACTGTATGCTGGTTAGTACTGTATGAGAATGCACAGAGACATAAATTGTGCTTCAAAGCTTCAAAAGATTTCTGCAGTGTTTTTTCAAAATCCCACAATTCCCTTAAACCAGCAAGGTGATAGAGAGACCACCCTGAAACCACTGGGACATCATGTGCTTGGGTAGACCTTCATTTGTTCAGTTATATTTATTTTCTTACCATAAACCTGTTTGGAAAGAGTCCCTTTCTGAGGTGGACTGATCTATGTAAGGTAGCAGGTCTGACCATTTTTTCATTATCTTCATACTTATTAAACAGGAAGAAATTCCACTGTGACATTTTCATCTATTGTTCCCCTGTCCCTTTGAAGAAGAGATAAGGGTGACACAGATGTTCATGTTGGTGTTATTATAGTTGGATTGGTTGAAAAATGACTGCTCATTTGCAATGACTTAAGCTGTGTGGCTGAGTAGAGTGTGCTCATGCATGTGCGTCTGTGCTGGTGCACTACCTGGAATACGAGACTAATGTAAACTAAATTAAAGTCCCCTGTTTAGAATGAATGTCTTTTCCAAACTCAAATTCTTTTATAACTAAAATAGATTATTTTTAAAATAGGGGTATTTCTGAAAGCTCTTTAAAGTTTACATGTTTGATGACAGATGTTTGACATACTGTAAATCACATTAGTCAATGTTTGGACAGTGTGTAATTGCATCAGTTTTCTGTAAGGGCTGTTGGGTAAAATTATTAACAAAGTCATATTTTAAGGTTGATTCTAACATCTGATGAATTAAGAACTTAATTAGTAGAAGATTAACATTATGCTTGTTGATTAGTCAACCTGTGTGTTTACTTTGCGTATGGTAATTCTATCATAGTTAAGATTTAGTTTAGAGCACACATAAGTTTGCTTACTTATATGTTACAATTATGTTTACATAGTTGAGTATATCATTCTATGTGTTCACTGAATTCTTGGC